AGATTACCATAAAACATACTCATTTGTTTATTATCTAGTCCCCCTCTAGAATACAAGCTCCAAGATAATAGGGATTTTCATTTAGTTCACTGCTGAAATCCCAGGACTTAGCCATGCCTTGTGCACAAAAGTACTTAGCAACTACTTCTTTCATAGCATTTGTTCATGTGTTGACTTCATGACCCACTGAAATGTATCTCCCTCTCTACAGTACAAGCTCCAGGAACACAAGCTTCCAGAGCTGCTTTGTTCAACCACCATATAACCAGTGACTAGCACATAGTGGGCACTCAGTCAAAATGGTTATATAAATCAATACATAAATTGCATGTGAGATTGAACTACTAAGGTCCATGCCAATCCTTAATGTCTGTGATTCCCTTCCAGTCTGTTCAAACATGGGAGAAATATGGCAGGATCCCCTTACCTTTATCACTTTCTGTGGTTTCAGTTATTCACGGTCCAACCACTGACATCTTTGAGCTTGCTGATCCAGGACCAATGGAGCAGATGACCTCTACTGATGGACGGCCAAGGCAACAGTAGCATGAAAGTTAAATGTGAAAGCTGCTGACGCCAAGATGAAGTCACTCTTGTCAGATCCAGACAAAGGAGGGGGGGCCTATGCTTGTGTATCTGACAGAGGAACTATCACAAGTATTTTTTTTTTAATTCATTTACTTATTTGAAAGATAGAGTTAACAGAGAGAGAGAGAAGGAAAGACAGAGATCTTCCATCCATTGGTTCATTCTCCAAATGGCCACAATGACCAGGCTGGGCCAGGCTGAAGTCAGGACTAGGAGCTTCTTCCACGTCTCCCATTCTCCACTGCTTTCATCCAGCAGTGGGCCATCCTCCACTGCTTTCCCGGGTGCATTAGCAAGGTGCTGGATTGGAGCTGGAGCATCTGGGACTGGAACTGGCGCCCACAGGGGATGCTGGTGCTGTAGGCTGTGGCTTTAACCCGATACACAACAATGCAGGCTCCCACAAGTACTTTTTTTTTAAAAAGATTTATTTATTTACTGGAAAGTCAGAGTTACACACAGAGAGAAGGAGAGGTGGGGGGGAGGGGTTCTTCCGTCCATTGGTTCACGGCTGGAGCTGTGCCGATCCAAAGCCAGGAGCTTCTTCTGGGTCTCCCACGTAGGTGCAGGGGCCCAAGAACTTGGGCCATCTTCTACTGCTTTCCCAGGCTGTAGCAGAGAGCTGGATCAGAAGTGGAGCAGCTGGGACTCAACTCAGTGCCTACCTGGGATGCTGGCAGTGCAGGCAGTGGCTTTACCCACTATGCCCCAGTGCAGGCCCCACAAGTGCTTTCTAATGCCCACAAGAAGTTCTTATACTTCATCACACCTTATTTGCCTTATATAACTTGCTTGTTCTGCATGTTGGCATACAATATTTCACAATTTATCACAAGAAACTCTTCAAGATAGCAGAAGTTCAGATAAGACCCTGGCCTAGCAACAGCTGTCTCCACCAGTGGACTGACAGCTCCTGCAATGACTTCCTGTGATCAGTAAACCTTATTTCAAGAGCAGCTTACATGGACGTCCCCTGCTTTGCCTTTAAAGGCTTCTCCTTACCTCATCCTCTCCAGATGCACCTGTGATTTGTCATAGTCTGTGCATCCCAGATTCCAATCTGCTGTCACTCATTCCCAGATAAGGTGAATTTTTGACAGCTATGTTATTATTTTAGGTTGACAAGAGATGAGTGCTACATCACAAAGCCTATGTCATTCTTGCCTTATTTCATCTCATCAGGTAGTCACTGTATCACTCACATCACCACAAGAAGTCACTGTATCATACACATCACTATATCATTCACATCATCACAAGATATTTTCAGAGAAACTACATCCACATTACTTATATTATAGTCATAACTGTTCTATCGTATAGTTTTAATCTCTTATTGTTTCATAAACTTTATCAGAGATATGCACAGATGTGTCAGAGTTGGGTACTGTCCACAGTTTGAAGAATCCACTGGGAGTCTTGGAAAACATCCTTCAAGATAAGGGGGATTACTGCACTGCAGGGAAGATTTGTCCAGGTCTACTTTTCTAGTACATGTAGTTACTGAGAACATAAGGATAATAACTTTTGGATTCAATCGATGCTGACATTTGTTGAATGTTTACTAAGTTCTAACTCCTAGGCTAGGTCCTCAAGATACAGCAATGAAAAAGAGGCCCATTATACAAAATCACTGGAGAGCTTACATTATAACGGAGAAGACACACAACACTCAAAAAAAAAAAAAAAAAAGACAAAAATATGTAAATGAGTGAGTGAACCTGAATGAGATAGAAAAGGCCCACTCCATGGTGGTGACAACTGCGCTGAGACCTACAAGAGTAGGACAAGCCAGATATTTGAAAAGGTAGTGGAAAAATCATTCCAAAGGAGACAGCAAGTACAAAGGGTCTGGGATGAGAGACAGCAGGATCTGTTTTTCTGCAATATCCTGAGAAAGAAGAGAGGAACAAGCCGAGACAAGAGAGGCAGGCAGGGTCAGATTCTCAGACCCTGGAAGGTATCAGAAGGCATCTTAATTTTATTCTAAAAGCAAGGTTAAGCAATGGAAAAGTTCTGGATAGAAATGGGGGCTTTATTTATAAAGATCACCCTGACTGCTGTGTGAAGGTTAGATTTGAGACAGTGACTCCAGGGAAAAATGTGAAACGGTGGTTTGGACTGGAAACTGGTAGTGAAGATGGAACAGTATAAACACAGAAGTTGTTTACCTAGAAATGTATACAGTTGAGGTATGTAACGTCCTCTCTGTGTCAATTCTTGGTTCTCATCTTATTTTGTCTGACAGAATCTTGCTTGAGCTTGCCACGGCTGATTATTCCTTTTCCCTTAAAACATTTTCTTTGCTTCCAGCATACCGGGCACTTTATAGTTGTCCTCATGCCTCCTTAGCCATTCTTCCTTAGTCTCTTGGACTCTAATCACCCCTCCAGGTCAATGCTGGGGCATGCCAGGGCTCACACGTGCCTCTTCTCCATCTCAACACACTCCCTTAGCTATTCCATCAGGTGTCATGAGTTAAATACAATTAATATGCGGATGAATCCCAAATGCCTATCTCCTCTGACTTCCAGATTCAAGGGTGCAATTACCTGCATAATAGCCCTGCCTGTGGATATTGAATTATATGTCAAGATATCTGAAGTTAAACTCTTTATCCCTCTCCCTCCTGCCTGAAACCTGCTCTTCCTTTTGTGTGTGTGTGTGTGTGTGTGTTTTGACAGGCAGAGTGGACAGTGAGAGAGAGAGAGAGAGAGAGAAAGGTCTTCCTTTGCCGTTGGTTCACCCTCCAATGGCCGCCGCGGCCAGCGCACTGCGACCAGTGCACCGCGCTGATCCGATGGCAGGAGCCAGGTACTTCTCCTGTCTCCCATGGGGTGCAGGGCCCAAGCATATGGGCCATCCTCCACTGCACTCCCTGGCCACAGCAGAGAGCTGGCCTGGAAGAGGGGCAACCGGGACAGAATCCGGCACCCCGACCGGGACTAGAACCCGGTGTGCCAGCGCCGCAAGGCGGAGGATTAGCCTAGTGAGCCGCGGCACCAGCCCTGCTCTTCCTATAATCATAATCCCATCCAAGGTTCTTCACACTGTAGTTCTACTTTTCGCACAGAAATCCCCAGTTGCTGCCTTATCTCCTCCCTATCTTTCCCATTGGCCACTTTCTTTGGCTTCCTTTGACCATGCCCCCCAACAAGGCATTTTTTTTTTTTTTTATGTATTTGACAGATGAGTTAGACAGTGAGGGAGAAAGACAGAGAGAAAAGTCTTACTTCCGTTGGTTCACCCCCCAAATGGCCGCTACAGCCGGAGCTACACTGATCCAAAGCCAGGAGCCAGGTACTTCTTCCAGGTCTCCCACGCGGGTGCAGGCGCCCAAGCACTTGGGCCATCTTCTACTGCCTTCCCGGGCCACAGCAGAGAGCTGGACTGGAAGAGGAGCAACCAGGACTAGAACCCGACATCCATATGGGATGCCGGTGCCAAAGGCGTAGGATTAACCAAGTGAACCACCTGCCGGCCCTACATGGCATTTTAATATCAACACTCATCTCATAGCTTCCATCCCTGTTCCTTGCTCTATTTTTCTCCCTAGCTTTTAATTTCTTGTAAAATTTATTTACTTACATATTTGCTTAGTGGCCATCGATACTCACAAAAATATATCCTCCATGAAAATAGGGATTTTCTATTTTTTTTATTAACCAGATGTTTTCCTGGTTCCTAGAACAGTACCTGGTATATAGCACATGCTAAAAATATTGTTCTTAAATGTATGAATGAATAATAAGTAAAAGTTAAAACTATTTCTTCATTTTAAATGCATGAACAAAAAATGTCAGTCAAAATAATTCTCCATTCTGATATTCTTTACCACTTGGCCTGCATTTGAAACTGTTCAGTTTGCAATGTATTGGGCCAGGAAAGAAAGACGGTAAAATGCACTGAAAAGAACCTTAAAAACACGCAGCTTGCAGTTCATCCCCCAAACACAAGTTACTGTAATCCTAATAACAACCTAAGAAGGAATTCAAGACGTGTTCACGAGAGAAGGTACTCGATGGTACCAGGAAACAACCTTCACTGAGAACCCAAGCTACTTCACAGTTCTTCCTTCTGCTCTGTGTACACAACCGTCCACGACCTGGAAAGCTGTGAAAGCCCTCAGTGAGCCAAAAGCGATGAGCGCGGCGTAGCAAGCGGGGGACGCGCAGAAACCGCAGAAATGGCGACTCGAGACATCTCTGCACTGATTTTCCATGTGACCCGGGCAGGAAAGCAGGATGCAACACTGTGCTAGGACTGAGGGCTGGAACGTGGCCGAAAGTCCCCGAGTAGCTCGGTATCTCCGAGGCCCTGGGCCGGCCCGGCTGCACAGGTGGGCCCAGCACCGCGCCGTCGAGGGTGCGCGCTGCGGCCCGCGGCCTCCCCCAGGCCCTGCCTCCGCTTACCCTCGCCGGTGGAATTCGTGCTTCTGTCCCTCCGTCGTCGCTAAAGCCTTCTTTTTCTTCATAAAACCTAACAACTCCCGGATCTCCTTCTCGAAGGAGGCCAGGAGCGGGTTTTTCGCGTCCAACGGCCCATAAAACACGGCGAGGGGCAACGAGTCCTCCGGACTGGTACAGCGAAGCAGCGGGCCCGGGGTGCTCGCCTTAGACTCCAGGGGCGTCTTCGACACCGAGCTCGAGGACGGGGGCTGGGGCGGCGCCTGTTCTGGCGTCGATAAGGAAGTGAGAGACTCCTCATAGTACAGAGAACTCGAGTGGATGCCCTGCGCCGCCATTTTGACCCGACCGGGCCGGCCGGCCGGCGGTGGTTGCGCGTGTATACACGCGGTTGCCATGGCGACGGTCTCGCGGCAACCGAGCGTCCCGTGCGTTCTTCGGGAAACACAGCGACCCCTGGAGGGCAGATGAAGAACGAGCCCGGTCCACAAAGGAATGCGCGCGAGGTTATGCACCTGGTTCCTCTCAGGCTGTGGGAGCTGAGAGAGAGAGAGCAGGTTTGAGCTGAGAACCAGCTCCAGCATACTGGAGCCCAAAATTTAGGATTACAAATCTTCCGTAACAGTAATAATGATGGTGATGACAATTTCATGTGTAAGGCATTGTTCTAAGCATTCCATCGTGATCCCATGTATCTCATCATCACAATAACTTTAGGATTAGTATATTTCACAGCTTAGGAGACAAAGACTAGGGAGGTTCAGTCATCTGAGCAAGGCTGGAATAAAGCACGTGGTGTCAGAGACCAAGTCCAAGGATGACTTGATCCTTCCCCCAGAATAAAGCTCATTAATTATATTGAATTTGAGAAAGTAGCTGGCAAGCAGTTTAAGAATCAAATACATTCGACCCATTCTCTTCCCTCTATTTGAACCTTGAGGTCTGTAACTCTGGGGATGATATCTGTGCCTCTAATAATAATGATTATACTTATTTATTTGGATTTCAGCCTGATTCTAAAACACTGTCATACATTGTGAATGGATGTGCGTTTTGCTCGGCTTTGATACCTGATTAGTACATGCAGATGGCCTGAAGAGTTAGCTCTCAAAATACTTTTGTATATTAAACAGGGACTTCAAGAGACAACTTTTGGTGGGAAACTCCAGGCCTTAGGGGAAATGCTTGCGGACAGGGAAGGCATTTATTTCTCTGTATTTACTGAAGTATGAGTTTCTGACTAAACAGGAATTTATTTCCCTTAAATTACACAATACCAAAAATGATCTAAGAGAAGAACCATAAATAGTTTTAGGGAAATAGATTTTCACCAGGAAAACTGTGGGCAGCTCTTTCACACTTCAAGGTAAAGAAAGACAATGACCCCACGCCCCCTGAGCCCAATTTCCCCTTTAAGATGAAGAAGGTTATTAGACAACAGCCTGATCCCTTTCAGGTCTGACCTAATTTCTTGTGGGCTCTGCGGGCCTGTGCTAATTTGTGCAGCTAGCCTAATACATCATGTGTACAATACCCTAATATTCTTCTAAGGAAGGTGATGGTGATTTTATTCATTGAGATGGGTAATTACGGCCACAGAACCTCCAATGACGCCTCATTGTTGGAGTCCAGTTTTCCAATCAGGATGTGGATGTCAGCCTTTGATTGTCAAGGGCTTTATCTTGTATCTAAGTGAGCAATACAAATGTTAAGACTTTAAAGAATTTAGGCCTAGGGAAAAAAAAAATCATCCTCAGAGCAATTACAAAAAAAAAATCAATACACTTTTAAACAGCCAGCTTGATAAATCCTCTCTCTTCTCATCTTTTCCTTATTCTCACACAACAGCCTTGTCCTTTTCAGATCCAAAGCTCATGTAATTTGCCGCTGAGTACTATCTATTATATTGATTAAAGTGAAACAGCAGGATACAATTAAATTAAAGTTGTCTGAGAGGAGGAAAGAAAATAAAAATAAAACAAAGTGGGCTTTCTTCTCCTCCTTGGTTTAACTGCGCTCACAAAACAACCTGTCTCATGGCACAAAGACTTAATTCCAAAGTCACAGGTAAAAGAAAATGTGACTAATTAAATTCAAATACTTGAATTATGAAACATTGCACCTTAGTCATTTTCCTTCTTGCACATACTGAAGTTAACAATGCTTAACTTTCAGTAGTTTTTGGAAGCTTGGCTGAATATTTAAATGAGTGTTTTATTCTGAATCATCATCGTGGTAAGATGGAAGTTTCCATTTTGTTCGGTTCAAATTATATTTGAGGCATTTTTAACATTTTTAACATTTCTCGTAATGAGATGCAGCCATTATAATATCTTTTCTATTTCCTTGTCACTTTGCTTTATTCTTTTCACTGGAATGAAAGAGTGGAGCTATGCAACCATTGTGCCTGACAGGGCTAAGTAATGTAAATAGCTTCCTTATAAATAATGTAAATTGCTATTTCCTTATAATTAATGTCTTTGCAGACTGCAAGAATCCTTTCTACCCCTTCAAAAATATTTTTCATTCTAAGTTACTGCTAGAGAAATAATAAATAAGGTTAATGTTCTTTCTATTGATAATTTAACTCAATCATTGGACTGATACCCCAATAGATACTTGGTCTTAACAGCGAAAATCACCAAAAAGCATGAAAATTCCCTCTTTGCACCTTCCCTCTTGAAAGTTATGCATTTTTTTTACTTTTCGTGTATTCAGTTAAATACAACGTTTCTTTAGTGTCCGTACAATGCATTGATCAACTCACAAATACATTACAAGAAGAATGTGACACAGACAGCATCTAACCATGATGAAAAGGAGTACGGTGGAATACACCCCAACCAAGGTTTAAACTGTGTTGCAGGCATTTTAAAATGAAGCTTAGGAATGGAGAGAAAACAAAAGATCCCAAAAGACATGATGTTTTAGTCCTGGACTCTTAACTGCTTCTTGTTTCAGAGAGACCCTTGCAAAGAGGCCTTACCTGTTCACTGAAAGTAGCCCAGCACTCAACCCGGCACCTGGACAGTGTATGACTAAATAAATCTTTGCAAGAATGAGTGACTCAAGCCGGCGCCGTGGCTCTATAGGCTAATCCTCCACCTGCGGTGCCGGTACACCAGGTTCTAGTCCCGGTCGGGGCACCGGATTCTGTCCCGGTTGCCCCTCTTCCAGGCCAGCTCTCAGCTATGGCCCAGGTGTGCAGTGGAGGATGGCCCAAGTGCTTGGGCCCTGCACCCCATGGGAGACCATGAGAAGCACCTGGCTCCTGGCTTCAGATCAGCGCGGTGCGCCGGCCACAGAGCGCTGGCTGCGGCGGCCATTGGAGGGTGAACCAAGGGCAAAAGGAAGACCTTTCTCTCTGTCTCCCAATGTTTGTACATTATCACTGCAGCAGTGAACTGGGAATCATGTTGAGTCACATTCTATACTTAAGACACTTTTGGCATGTACCTGAATTGTCTTAAGTAATTTGTGTGGGGAGCAAACTCGGACTAGACTGTTACTCGAATTAGGACTTATTCTATGCATCTGCTCTCCCACAATATGGCACTGGGAGAGAAGTAAACAGCTTCCACACAGCTGCCTCCAGTTCAACCAATTAACTGTAGGACTTGCTCCTGATTGGAGAGCAGCGTACTCGGCGTGTGGGCAGCCGAGTTGGGATTGGCGGAGGAGGACTATAAAGGAGGAGAGAGACGGCATGCACCGGGAACATCTATGGGGAACATCTAGCTGAAGGAACACCTGTGCAGCCCCCGAGAGAACCGGCCGGCGGTGTGCCGCTCCCCTGCGGAAGTGGGGAATGTGGCCAGGGGGAACTGCCCTTCCACGGAGGTGGAAGGGATAGTAGCCAACCCGGGAAGAACCAGCAGCAAACCCGGGGAGGGCCGAGCAGACGAAAGAACAGCGCAGGGTCCTGTGTTGCTCCTCCACGAAAACGGGGAGCGACATAATGGTGCCGTGACTCGGATATAAAGCCTGGGCAGGGTTTAGTGTCGTTCCTCCATGAAGAGGGGGAGCGACATAATGGTGCCGTGACTCGGATAGGAAACCTAGGACGGATAGGAAACTTAGGAGGGAAGAAACGGGAAGAACTGGGAAAATATCGGAGAGAGAGACTAGCAAACAGCCTAGGGAAAAGCCGGACGAAAAAGGTGCCGGAAGAAGCTATTGAAAGCCTAGGCATAGACTCGGATACGGACTACGGGGGGAAGCTGGGAGAAATCTTTAAGGTCGAAAGCGAAAGTGAAAGCTAGAACAAACAGACCTGGACGCGGACTGTGGGGAGAGGCCAGGAGAAATGAGGGAGGAATATTGTTGGAAGAAAACTTGGGGAAACATACCGGGTAGAGAAAAATGTTAGGGAAATTGAAGCCGTGGGGGGCAGGCCAAGGCGGACACGAAAGCCACTTTGGGGTTCTCAAGTTAGCCCGGGAATAGGGGGCGAAAAGTTGAAACCAGAAGCTGAAACGTGAGCCAGGTTGGGATCCGTCTGATTAGCCCGGGGAGCAAAGGACGGGAAGCCAAACCGTGGGGCGGAGACGTACGCTGGGTTGAATTCGCCAGGCTAGCCCGGGGAACTTAGATTGAATGCTAGTGGCGGACACGTAAGCTACGCTGTGTTACTCGCGGAAGCCGCCGCGTGCAGAGAGAGCACGGGGCGTGAATAGATAGGGAACGGGGCTGGCGTAGGCCGTGGTTCAGACGCGAAAGGGTTAAGCGTGGAGACCGCGGAGCGCTCGAAGCCGAGCCGCGCAAAGCCGGGAAGCTGCGCAGATGAGAGAGGCGCGCGGGCTGAAGCGGCGCAGAGCCGGGAACCTGCCGGCGGGGCGAGGAGCCGGGAAGCCGCCGAGAAGCAGTCTCGGGGCAGGCGCAGCCGGGAAGCCGCGGGGATAAGAGAAACAGAAGTTTGGAAGTGGAGTGAGAGAAATGGGAATGTTGGCAGACAGAAGTAAAATGGGAGAAATAGGAATGCCCGGAGATAGAGAAATAGAGAAATAGAAAGGCCTCCCTACAATACCACAATTAGAAGGCTTGGATTCGGTCTGCCCGATTAGTGAGGCGATGAGCACCTGCGGCGGCTAGCAGCTTATGCGCCGCAGGTCACCGAAGACAGGCACGAATTAACATCAGTAAGGCTTCCCCACAATGCAACAATTAGGAGGCTTGGATTCGGTCTGCCTGATTAAGGCGGTAAGCGCCAGCAAACAGCTCGACCAAAGCATGAGCTGCAGGTCACCGAAGATAGGCATGAACCAACACTAATAAGTCTCCCCCACAATACGGCAATGAGAAGGCTTGGATTCGGTTTGCCTGATAGGTTTTGTAAGCCCCTGCGGGCAGAGCAGAGCATGCGCTGCAGGGCACCGAACACAGGCACGCATCAGCGCCT